TTTATAGTAAACTTATTCAACTGTCGATAGTCGATACACATCCGTAACGACCCGTCTTTCTTCCGCACGAACAGGACTGACGCACCCCAAGGTGAAGTGCTAGGCCTAATGAAGCCCTTATCCAGTAAGTCCTTCAACTGCGCCTTCAACTCTTGCAACTCTGCCGGGGCCATTCTGTATGGAGGGATAGAGATCGGTTGAGTGTCAGGCAACACATCAATGCTAAACTCAATCTCCCTCTCAGGAGGAAGGCCTGGGAGTTCATCTGGGAAAACATCTGGAAATTCATTGACCACGGGGATTGATTGTAGAGTAGGCGGCTTCGCCTCCGCATCCCTAACGCGAACGAGATGATAAATGTAACCTTTTGAGATCATCTTCCTTGCCTTAAGATAGGAAATAAACCTACCTTTCGGTGTAGCAATGTTCCCCTTCCATTCAATGACGGGTTCACCAGGAATTGAAACCTAACCATCTTCGTACGACAGTCAACATTTGCATAGCATGAGGCCAACCAGTCCATTCCCATTATCACATCGAAATCAACCATTTCTAACTCAAATAAATTTGCCGAGGTTTGACGACTACAAATCATCACAGTGCAACCTCTATATACCCTTCTAGCAATCACAGAATCTCCTATCGGAGTAGATACCACAAGGGGTTTACTTATCAATTCAGGTTCAACGCCAAACTTATTAGCCACAAAGGGTGTAACATATGATAATGTGGATCCCGGATCAATCAACGCATATACATCGTAAGAAAACACAGACAATATACCTGTAACAACATCTGGAGATGACTCGAGATCCTGTCGACCTACTAGAGCATAGGTTCAATTTTGAGCACCACTCGAACTCTGCACTGCACCTCTACCTCTACCTCGACCTGTCGACTGCTGAAAACCCGTGCTGGAGGTCGAATTGATGAGGAAGAACCAGACACAGATCCAGGCAGCTGAGCCATACCACCACCTCCTCTGTTAGGTCAATCCCGTATCATATGGCCAGGCTGTCCGCAAGAATAACATGCATCAGAACCTCGACGGCACAGTCCAAAGTGGGCCTTACCGCACTGATCACAACGTGGTGTTGGGGGTCTCGTCTGATTAGTATCTCTGTGATATTGCGAGCCTGATGCCCGCGAACTCTGACCTGGACCTGAATAGGTAAATCAATCATATCGAGGCCTTTGGAATTGTGGAGGAGCACTAGCTACAGATGGCGCCGAACTCCTCGAAGACTGGGGCCTGACATTGCCTCTGAAGTCATCAGAATACCCTGCAAATCGCGCCCGCTTATGCTGGCTCCTATCCTGCTCCCTATCTGTCCTTTGCTGGCGCTTACGATCCTCTAGGGTCTGGGCATAAGCCTGAATACGGGAAATATCCATGCCCTCCACCAAGGAGGCTGTCGTGCACTCATTTATCAGATGTGGTCCAAACCCGTTCACGAACAGATGCACCCTATCACTCATCTCTGCTACCATATGGAAAGCATACCTTGCTAAAGAATCAAACTGCATACTATACTCTCGCACACTGATATTACCTTGTCTAAGGTTCAAGAACTTATCAGCTCTAGCTCGTCGTATCTCAACTGGCAAGTAGTGACGAAGAAAGGCCTCAGAAAATTCCTTCCACACAGCTGGAGGAGCGTTCGGACCCCTGGATCTCTCCCAACTATCATACCAGAGAATCGCTAAATCCCGTAGCCGATAAGAAGCCAACTCTACTGCCTCTGTATCACTAGTATGCATAACCCGCAGTGTACGATGAACCTGATCAATAAAAGTCTGCGGGTCCTCCTTTGGATCTGATCCGGTAAACACAGGAGGGTATAAATTTATAAAATCACGAACTCTCGTACTAACTGGTTTATCAGCAGCACCTGTATTCTGCCTCTGAGACTGAGCAGCTACCAAGCTAGTCAATAACTGCAAAGCACTCCGCATATCCTGGTATGTAGTGCTGGACGGAGGAACTGGGGGTGCTGGGTTCCTCCTAATATCCTCTGGAGGAGACGGAGTAGACGAGGTATGAGACGGCATCTCACTCTGAGCCTCACTTTGGCCCGCTCTGGCTTGGGGCACCGGATTGGTACCCTCTCCCACAGCTGTATCAAGCCTTCTACTAATTGTTTGCTTCCTAGTCGAAGGCATCGCTGAAAGAAAACAAGGTGAATATTAAAGATGAACACTTACGACTTAACTCTACGCACGATCTAGATTCAGGAAGAAGGTAACAACCCTAGATGTCATGTAGCCTCCTGATTATAAATGTGGCGCGCTACACATCCAAAATCAAGACTCTACTAGACACGGCTCATAGACAATTCCTAGGATAGACTTGCTCTGATACTAAGTTTGTCACGACCCAAACTGGAGGGCCATGACTAGCACCCGGCCATACTTACCGAGCACCAACATACATTTTATCTAACCTTCTTTATTATCTTTTAGGGCTGACGAGATCAATATAAATGGTAGACATGGGTCGTGGACAACCAACAATAAAATATAATGGCATGAACATACATAACATGGGATGACTAGACAATCAAGAAACTATATATAAGGTACGAGCTACCACACTACCATGAGAGACTATACAACAAAATCCAGCCGACAAGGCCTACCAAACTACACATGAGTCGACACCTATCTATGAGCCTCTAAAGGAACATAAGTGTTGCTACATAGCTGGAACAGGGCCCCGACATACCCATAATGTCTATAACAAAAATGCATACCAAGACCACGGCAAGTCTGAAGAAGGGATCTCGCCAATCACCGCTAAACTGGACAGCCTACTATGGTGGGGGAGCTGCGCCTGCCTGTCTATCAGGACCTCCAGCACGACATGCAGCGTCCAAAAATAAAAGGACGTCAGTACGAATAAAGTACTGAGTATGTAAGGCAGGGAACCATAAGTACGAACAGTATTGTAAGCAGGGATAGAGAATAAACAACCTGTAACATCTGGGTACCTCTGAGGGCTACTGACATGAAATGCGAGATACATATGTAGATATAGATAAACTTTTAAAACATACGCCTCTGTGGGAATCATCATCATCATATCGTACCCGGCCGTAATAGGCTCAGTAAAAACGTACCCGGCCATCATAAGGCTCGGTAGAATCATACCCGGCCACGTGGAGCTCGGTAAAACCCAACTGATTAGTGGTTGCACAATAGGTGTCGTACCCGGCCGACTATAGCGCGGCTCAGTAGAGTAAAATAGATACTATATATATAATGCATTCTCGACTCACGGAATCGCGTTCTAAACCTTTTGGAGTGACGTAAGGTCGATATTCTCCGTACACAATATTAGGACTAAATCTTCATCAAGAATCTTATAAGAATCGGGAAGTACCAACAACATTGATAACATAAGAATAAGAGAAGTAACCTCAACAAAATTGTTCCATAAGAAGGGAAACAATGTAAGTACTGCTAGCTTCTAAGAGCAGAGTATCTTTGGAAGCTCGTTCATTGCATTATGTACAATCGGAGTCGTGCAAAAGAAGGAAAGGGATAGCCTCACATACCTTGTATATGCTGCCCCAATCTCAAGCTATGCAATTTTCACGACTCCTTAGTCTACAATAAGAGAAACGACACTATAGTTACCATTCAAGCGTCATAACTATTATGTATCGACCACAACCTATTTTACGATGAAACGGACAGCACCTCCCCTATATATATGACTTCACACAATTCCAAACAATCACCAAACAGCCTAAACAACATCAATAATAATCATATTGAGCCTCCCAAAACAGTCCACGCACAACCTAATCACTTCATACATACGACGGCCACCGTGGTCGTGTCAAACGACCCGGAAATGTTACGAAGAACTACCAGCCCACAACCCTACATCTATATGGTGTTTCTCTACACCCTTCCTCGTCCAAAACTCCACAAAACAGTAGTAAAACACGCAGCCCAACAGCAACACAAAACAGTCCACAAAACAGTCCGCTACAAGTGAATAACTCGAACTCACGGCTTCCGATCACCGTCCCGTGAGTTCTTACATGTATAGAATGAATTACCATGAATTAACAGCAGAATAAATGAATGAAATATAGCAGTAAACTCACCTTACTTGTTGGATAACTCAGCCCTTATCTTGGTTCTTCAAACTCCAGGGTTTACCCCCAATTTGAACTTGAAAGAGAGGGAAAATCAATTAGGGTTTGTGGATAATTTTTGGGAGGAAGTTTTCAGGGGTTTAGGTCTGGTTATTTGTGAAACATAATGAGGGATATACTGCAGGAGATAAGCCTTTTAATGGGCTCTTTGTCTGACCCGAAATTGCCTCTTTTTGGGCTATCATTTAACCAAGTAGGTGACCCACCTACTTGTCACCTAGCAGCTTGTGCAGTCTCGCAAAAATATCTATATCTCTCTACTCCAATGTCGTATTGATAAAAGGTTTAATGAGTTGGAAACTAGACTCATAGATCTTCAATTTGGTGGGTAGATCACCCCGTAATTCCAAGTATATTGGGAGAAAAGCTTAATAACATTTGACCTAAAGTTTAAGTAAAACTATGAACCTAAGTTGCAACAACTCTTGTCGACTTTTGTTTCATAACTCGTTTGACTTCAAGACTATGATACGGATATTTTATGATTCATATACCTTAAAATACGACATCTTGATAGTATTAAGCACCCCTAGGTTTACCCAAATATACGGCTGCCAACATCTTTGATTCGTTTAACTTCTAATACTTGTTAACCACCCTTATACACCTTTGTATCATTTAAGACCAATAGGATTAACCTCTTATCATCTTAAAGATAATCTCTTCATGGATTTACGTCTACGACCTTATGGCATGAACTAACGTATGTGAATATGGGTTGTAATAGTGGTAGATACTGCAGCTGGGGGTCAAGTGTTGGAGAAAAGCTTTTACGAGATATATGCATTATTGAACAAATTTTCCAAGAGCAACCCGGATTGGCATGGAGAGATGGGCAGACACACAGTGCAAAAGTCTGCAGGGGTTCTTGAGCTAGATGTCGTCTCAGCATTATCAGCGCAGATTGCTACACTGGCCAATCAAGTCAACCAGATGAACTTGAATATCAACAAGCAACAAATACAACTGGTACAAAAGGTTCAAGCTTTTTGCGAAATATGTAGGGAGGGGCACACGAGCGACATATGCCCCGCAAACCCAAAATCTGTCTGCTTTGTGGGTAATTCAAATAGGGGCCAAACAAACCAATATGGGAACACTTACAATCCCAACTGGAGGAACCACCCAAACTTCTCTTGGGGAGGAAACCAGGGCACTCAGAATCAAGACAGACCTCAAGCACCTCAACAGCAATATAGACCACCTCAGGTTGAACAACAAGCGAGTCCTACAAGTCACCTTGAAGACATGTTAAAGAAAGTGATAGCTGAACAGCAAGCTCTCTCTCAGAAGGTGATGGCTGAACAGCAAGCTCTCTCTCAGAAGGTGATGGCTGAACAACAAGCCCTCGCCACAATAGTAAGAAATTTGGAGCGTCAAATAGGACAGCTTGCTAGTGCTCAAAACACCAGACCAGCTGGAGCTCTTCCAAGTGACACTGAAGCAAATCCTAGGGCGGCTTTTAATGCCGTGTCGTTGAGGAATGGGAGACAACTAGAAGAAGTTCAGTCTAAAAAGAGGAAACAGGTGACTTTTAATGAGAGGCCAGCCATTGCAGAATCAACATCAGAGCCAGCCAAGGAGCCAGAGAAGCCAGCTGGAGAGGCGGTGGTTGAGCAATCCCCACAATTGGTTGCAAGGCCACCACCTCCATTCCCTCAAAGACTGCAGAAATTACGAGATAATGCCACATATAAAAAGTTTCTTGATATCTTGAAGCAGGTACAAATTAATATTCCATTGGTTGACATCTTACAAGAAGTACCCAAATATGCAAAGTACATCAAGGACATTGTGGCGAATAAGAGGAGGCTGACCGAGTTCGAGACTGTGGCACTCACTGAGGAGTGCAGTTCCAGAATTAAAGGCAAGTTACCTCAAAAATTGAAGGATCCAGGTAGTTTCACTATCCAAATCACGATTGGTAAACATGCTGTTGGGCGAGCTCTATGTGACCTTGGAGTAAGCATCAATTTGATGCCGCTATCTATATTCAGACAGTTGGGGTTGGGTGAACCACGCCCAACAACAGTTATCTTACAGTTAGCTGACCGCTCCCTTGCTCATCCTGAGGGAGTCATTGAAGATGTGCTAGTGCAAGTGGGGTCTTTTATATTCCCAGCTGATTTCATCATCCTGGATTATGAGCCTGATCAGGAAGTCCCATTTATTTTGGGGCGTCCATTCTTAGCCACGGGCCGAGCTATTATTGATGTTTGTGAAGGAAAGATGACGATGAGAGTGGGTGATCGAGTGGAGGTCTTCAACGTTTATAGAGCACTCAAGTTACCAGCCCACTATGAAGAATTGTCCATGATCTCTGTGGTAGAAGGTGATGCCACGTCGTTAGTACCTTATGAGCCCTGCAGATCCTGTTGAGCGTGTATTGATTGGGGACTTAGAAAACGGTAATGATGAAAGGATGGGAGAAATTGAGCAAGTGCTGGATATGTCCTGCTGTTATGTACATGGGGTTAGAAAATTTGAAGAATTGGACAGGCCTGTCACTCTAACCCTCCCCAGGCCGTCTATTGAAGAAGCTCCGAAGCTAGAACTCAAGCCACTTCCAGCGCATCTGCGCTATGCTTATTTGAGGAACTCAGAGACACTGCCCGTGATTATTTCATCCAGCTTGACCATCACTCAAGAAGAAAAATTGCTCAGGGTCCTCCGCGAGCATAAAAGGGCCATTGGATGGACAATAGCTGACATCAAGGGTATTAGTCCATCTTTTTGGATGCATAAAATCTTTCTAGAGGACGGACACCGCCCCAGTGTAGAGCAGCAAAGGAGATTAAATCCCATTATGAAAGAGGTGGTAAAAAAGGAGGTAATCAAGTTGCTCGATGCAGGTATCATTTTTCCTATTTCTGATAGCAACTGGGTAAGCCCGGTTCAATGTGTGCCCAAAAAAGGAGGAATAACTGTAGTTGAGAACGAGAAGAATGAGCTGATCCCCACTCGCACTGTTATGGGCCGGAGAGTCTGCATTGATTATAGAAGGCTCAATAAGGCAACTCACAAGGACCACTTCCCACTCCCATTCATCGATCAAATACTAGACAAGTTAGCCGGGCATGAATATTACTGCTTCCTTGATGGTTATTCAGGATACAATCAGATTGTCATATGCCCAGAGGATCAGGAGAAGACTACTTTTACTTGTCCTTATGGCACTTTTACCTTCAAGCGAATGCCGTTTGGACTTTGTAATGCACCAGCCACATTCCAGAGATGCATGATGGCTATTTTCACCGATATGGTGGAAAAATTCGTGGAAGTGTTTATGGATGATTTTTCAGTTTTTGGGTCTTCTTATGATGATTGCTTGAGAAATTTAAGCAAGGTGCTGGCCCGTTGTGAAGAAACAAATCTGGTATTAAATTGGGAAAAGTGCCATTTTATGGTACAAGATGGCATCGTGCTTGGTCACAGAATATCTAGGAGCGGCATTGAAGTTGATAAAGCGAAAGTGGAGGCGGTTGCAAAATTACCTCGACCTATCTCAGTGAAGGGTGTCCGGAGTTTCTTGGGACACGCGGGTTTCTATCGGCGCTTTATTAAAGATTTTTCAAAAATTGCTACTCCTTTATACAGGCTGCTTGAAAAAGATGTTACTTTCAATTTTGATGATGCTTGCCTCAACGCATTTGAGGAACTTAAAAGGAAGCTGGTGACCGCCCCCATTATTGTGGCACCTGATTGGTCTCTACCATTTGAACTTATGTGTGATGCGAGTGACCTTGCCATTGGGGCAGTGCTAGGCCAGAGGAAGGACAAGATGTTTTATTCCATCTACTATGCGAGTAAGACTCTTGATGATGCACAATTGAATTACACCACCACTGAGAAGGAGCTGCTAGCCGTTGTGTGGGCCTTCGAGAAATTCCGGGCATACTTGGTGGGAACGAAAGTCATAGTCCATACGGATCATGTAGCAATCAGGTATTTGTTTACAAAAAAGGAATCTAAAGCTCGTTTGATGCGCTGGGTTTTGTTGCTGCAGAAATTTGATGTAGAAATACGAGATCGAAAGGGGACAGAAAACCAAGTAGCTGACCATCTATCAAGGCTGGAAAATCACGATCACGTGGAGGAGGGTGGCCAAATTAAAGAGGTATTTCCTGATGAGCAACTTTTTGATATAACCCAAGACCCTCCCCCATGGTATGCAGACTATGTGAATTATCTTGTGAGGGAGTACTCCCTCCCGAAATCCAATCTGAAGCTAGAAAGCAGTTCTTACATGATGTGAACTTCTATTGCTGGGATGAGCCCTATTTGTTCAAGCAATGTGCTGATCAGTTGATGAGGAGATGCATTCCTGAAAATGAGGTGGAATTAGTGTTGTATGATTGTCACGTATCACCTTATGGGGGCCATCATGGAGGAGATAGAACAGCTGCAAAGGTGTTACAATCCGGTCTCTTTTGGCCAACCTTGTTCAAGGATGCCCATGCATTCGTTAAGAAGTGTGACCAATGTCAGAGAACGGGAACAATCACAAGGAAGCATGAGATGCCTTTAAATAATATTCTAGAAGTTGAGCTTTTTGATGTGTGGGGGATAGATTTTATGGGGCCATTTCCACCGTCCAGAGGAAACAAATACATCTTGCTAGCCGTTGACTACGTGTCATGGGTGGAAGCAATCGCTTTGCCAACCAATGATGCCAAGGTGGTAGCTACTTTTGTGAAAAAGAACATATTCTCGAGATTTGGGACTCCACGGGCCTTAATCAGTGATGAAGGGACTCATTTTTGCAATCGATTGTTGAATAACCTTCTTGTTAAATATGGAGTTCGCCACAGAGTTGCTATAGCATATCATCCGCAGACAAGTGAGTGTGAATAGCAAGGACTGGGCTGCAAAGTTGGATGATGCCTTATGGGCATATAGGACCGCATATAAAACGCCAATTGGGGCGTCCCCTTACAAGCTGGTTTATGGGAAGGCCTGCCACTTACCCGTTGAGCTTGAACACAAAGCATACTGGGCCATTAAGAAGCTGAACATGGATCTTGAAATCGCAGGTGAGAAAAGACTTATACAGTTGAATGAGTTAGACGAGTTTAGGCTGCATTCTTATGAAAATGCCAAGCTATATAAAGAAAAGACAAAACGATGGCATGACAAGCATATCAAACCACGTCACTTTGAGCCAGGCCAACATGTATTGTTATTCAACACTAGACTACGGCTGTTCCCTGGGAAGCTAAAGTCGAGATGGTCAGGTCCTTTTGAGGTGGTGCGAGTCACTCCTTATGGTGCAATCGAGCTGCGAGCTTTAAATGGTGAGAGGACATTTTTGGTGAATGGTCATAGAGTCAAGCACTATTGGGGAGGAATGATTAATCGTGAAAAGACCAAGGTTGTACTCGCTGATGAGTAAGCGAGACTCTGCGTCGTGCCACGATGTTAAATCAGGCGCTAGATGGGAGGCAACCCATTCAATTGTTGTAAACGTTGTGCCGCGACGTTAAATCAGGCGCTGGTTGGGAGGCAACCCAACGATAGTAGTAAGTGTTGATTTTGTGTTTTAGGAAGTGCTAACCAATGCAGGTGACAATGGGCATGTGCTAAGGCCATCGAACGGGGTAAGAACAGGTGAAAAGTTGAAGAAAAATTTTGCCCAGGTGCGCGCCCGCGCATGTGGACGCGCATCTGGGCGCGCTAATTTGCACCAAGTCTGTCTTGGCCGCGCTAAAAATAGCGCGACCGCGCACCTAGACGCACTTCTGTACGCGAAACTAGCGCGGTCGCGCATGTGGACGCGCATTTGAGCGCGCTAATTCCTCAAAGATTCTATTGTGGCCGCGCTAATACTAGCGCGACCGCGCATCTGGCCGCGCTAGTTCCGTCAAATTGTCGCCAGTTTTTTTTTTAGTAGTTTAAGTTTTCCTTTTTATTTTCTTTTTTTATTTTGTTTAGGTTTAATCCCCCCCCCCCTTTTTCCNCAAGTCTGTCTTGGCCGCGCTAAAAATAGCGCGACCGCGCACTTGGGCGCGCTCTGAACGCGAAACTAGCGCGGTCGCGCATGTGGACGCGCATTTGGGCGCGCTAATTCCGTCAAGGATTCTGTTGTGGCCGCGCTAATACTAGCGCGACCGCGCATCTGGACCGCGCTAGTTCCGTCTAAATTGTCGTCCAGTTTTGTTTAGTCGTTTAAGTTTATCTTTTCCTTTTCTACTTTTACTTTCGTTTACGGTTTAATTCTCCCCCCCCCCCCCCCCCCTTCTAAACCCCCCGTTCAACAAAATACTCCCACCCCTCCTCTAACTCTCCCATATTCAAACAAACATCAAAACCCCATCTCACAATTCTGCTCCTAAATCCTTCACCCATCTCACGCTAATTCCCCAATTCTTTCCCCCCATTCTCACGACTTCTCCCCCATTCTCTTTCTCTACTCACCACCATCGTCCATCACAGGTATTAAACCTAGTTTCTTTTTCCTTTCTCTTTCTTCTCTTTTTCTAGTTTTATTTTTTTTCCAGATGTTGTTGTATGCAAATACCTTGTTGTAGTTGTTGTTCTTAGATTTTGTGTAGAGAATTTGGTGCAATATGTTGTAGTAGTGGTGCGTGATAAGTGTGGGGTGGAATTCCACCTAATTTGTGATCTTGGTGGGTGTATGTGGTGGATTAGTGTTCTAAAAAGCTTAAAAAGAGCTGTGAAAGGTTAACGCCCACAAGGTGTTCGTGGAAAGGCCCAAATGAACGTGATAATGTAGTTTGTGACCACCTATGCGTGTGAAGTCTAAGTAACCGCATTGCGTCACAAAATCTTAGTTGGGATGTGCTAATGTGTCCCCGTGTTGCAGGTATCATGGCTCCACCTAGGAAACGACAAGCCACAGGGGCCTCATCAAGCAGCCAAACTGGTTCAGCTAGGTCAAGAGGGGCTGCACAGGCCCGTTCCTTTGATGCTAGAAAATTTGTTTCGGCCAAGGCACAAGACCGCTTTGCGGAAAAGGCTCGTAGAAAGCCAATTCCGAAGAGGGGTATTCACGTCGGCTGGCTCCAGCACCACTGCCCGCACATGTACAATGAATTGGTGAGGCGAGGGTTGCAAACCTTCATCAATGATCCCGGAGAGGGTAATGTAATGGTTGTGCGGTAGTTCTATGCCAATGTACCGGAGCATGTTAATGGAGTAGTAACGGTGTGCCGACGGGCAGTGAATGCTTCTGTTAAGGCAATACGGACAGCCTACCAGCTGCCTCCACCCCCAGATACTGGTGATTACTTCTATGAGTACGGCCGCCACCCAATGAACGACGGAAAATGGGCACGATTCTTTGAGACAATATGTGTGCCGGAAAAGAAGTGGTCTGGATGGACTATGGGGAGAAATTCCACTCCTCAATACTCACATTT